CGCGGGGAGCCGGCGGGGGGGCCCTGCCCGCAGGACGAGGGGTGAGTGCGGAGCGGCCGCTGCGGCGGCTCCTCTGGGCAGCGGGCACTGCGGTGTGCGCCGAGCAGCCTCAAAACCAAGAGTTAAGTGCTGAAAATTAAACAAAACAAAACAAAACCCCAAACGATGCGGGTGCGTAAATGTTGGCTCTGCTTGCTTATAGCTCGGTATCCGGGTAAGCGCGGTGCCTGCGTGCAAGCAAAGAGCGGTGAAACTGGTGTGAGGTTTATTTGGACAACGCTTGTGCGGTTTCCTTGGGCATCTCCAGATGGGGTTGTGCTCCTCCACCGTCCTCCCTTGGCTCAGCCTTGTGTCTTCTTTGGCCTGTGATGGAGCTTTGGTTTATATTAAGCAGCAAAGACCCTGCAGCTTTCTGTTCCCGTTGCTGCCAGGTGCTTTTCCCCCCTCGAGGCACGGTTTGTTTGCTCGGGGTGGAGCAGCGACCAGGCGAGCGCGGTGGCGCTGCGCGCTCTCTTTCTTTTTTGACGCCTGCCCGTGCGAGTCTCGTGCTCTCTCAGACCCACAAAGCTTCCTGAACAGAGTTCTCATTGACAGAGGCAAATCCAAGTAAATATTTGGTTAGAATGAACATGGTTTGAGGTGTGCACCCGCCAGCTTTAGCTTTTGTAAGTGCGGATCATTTATTTCATGCTGGTCCCGCAGATGCTTGTTCCACTCGCTATTAGCCCTAACCCCGGAGGGGCTGTTTCAGTGCTATGCTCCCCGATCGCTGCTTGTTTGAGTTTAAAAGGTGAATGGTTTTGAAATTGTTAGCGAAACCAGCCCTGGCGGGTGCCAGAGCCCGGCTGGTGCGGCTCGGCGAGGAGCAGCCCCCGACACAGCCCCGCCGGGGCTCACCTCTGGCTCTCCCTCCACAGCCCACAGGGTCCCGTCTGCCCTCCCTGCGCCCACCAGCTGCACCTCTCCCTTGTCCACGACGACACGGCGGCCTGTCCCGTCTGTCCCCTGGCCGGGGAGGGGACCCTGGCTCACCTCGTCCCCCGCCGCTCCCCCAGCTGCCACGTCTGCCCCGTCTGCGCGGCGCCCACCCACGCGCACCTCTGCCAGCCCCGGCACCAGGCACACGACGGTAAGGACCTGCCCGGGGGGGACCCAAAACGCCCTTTGGGCCACCGCAGCTGGGGGCTGAGGTGCCGCAGAGGCTGCAAAGGCCATTCCTCCCGGAGCCAAGGGGCTGCAGCACGCAGCAGCTAGCCCCGACTCACGGCTCGTTTCCCTGTTGCAGGATAAACGCTGGCGGCCGTAGCATCCTTAGCGGCACGAAGGTGGCTGGAGAGACGGGAGCGTTGCTACACGAAGCCCCGGCACCGTCAGGGATGAAGGCCGGGGTGCAGTAAGGTACCCCAGCGCCAAGCGTCTGACTTCACAAGCAAGAATTTCTTTGTAAAGAAGCAGGAAAATCAAACACACTTCAAATTCAGCTCCGTTTTGATTCAATGCCTACTTTTTTGGTTTAGTATGGACGAACTATTTTTGCAGCTCTTATGGCGAGGCTTTAAAAACTCGGTAAATGTTTCTTTCCACTTTGAAAATAATTTCATAGCAAACGCCCTCTTTGCACAATCTTGCAAGATTTCACTGCATTTTTTTAAACTACTTTTTTACTGCACAGATCCAAGTGCGAAACCGGCAGTATTTATAGTGAAACTGTTTTGTAAATAAAAGGAATATAAGATAAGTCATCCTAGTATCCTGGCTTGGGGTTTGGGGTCTTTTTATTTACAAATCAAAGCTTCACTCGAGCGCTTTAAAGGGTTTTGCAGTCTCATTGTTTGCCGGATGTAATTAGCTGCTCAGGTAACGAATTGGTGCTGTTGTGCTGCGTGGGTGTCCGTAGCAGCGTGCCTGGCCTTTCCTGGGAACTGCGGTGACGGAGGCGTCGCTGCTGGAGCGGGGCCCATTTCCACCCCGGGGTGGCAGCGGGGCAGGATTGGGGGAGGCGTGGTGTCCT